ATATGGCTGTTTTGCAGTCAAGTATTGTCGGACAGTATAAAATATGCTTCAGCTGAACATTTCAAAATTTCATGCAATTTGCTCCATTGAGAAAAAAGTTACGGCAAGTAAAACTTGGCCGAATACTTTTGAGCGCTACTGTATGTAGAACTACCCTACACACTTGTATTAGCCCAACATGTGGAGATTTCATGATATCGGGCCAGCAAATCGAAGCCAATCTTCAACCTTCTTGTCTTCGGCTTCCATGTGCTGCAACGGGGGATGCCTAGCGTCTCATCATAGTCGACTTTTTGACGAGTTCGAATCCAACCAGAAGACTCCTCAGAACCTAATACTGAGCACGGGTTTCGATGGGATTAAGCAGCAGGTTGGCCGGATGCGAACTCGGCAGTGAGGTGACAGTTAGCCCATATAGGGTTGAATAAGCAAGGAAGTGAGAACCTGATAGATTATGGGCGTACAAATGGGCAGCGTTCCTGTAAAGCAAGTCCAAGGCAACTTTCAGAACATCCCCGACAAAAATCTGAATCATTGCGGAATTTTTCATGAAATACTTCACAAAGACACAGCAACTCTCGTTCGTGATTAGCACAGAGTGCTCAAATGCACTTTTTAATAAGAAATTCAGAAATCATCAATGGATACCGATGCAGGGAGCGAAAAGCTTGAGAGTGAGCTTCATTCCAAGCGACACTTTAGAATTCTGTGACAGCCAAACTGATCAGAACAGTAACACACTGATTTCAAAAAGGACCCACAAAATGACCCAAAAGTAGGAAAATCAATTCGGAAATTCCTGATGACATCAACTAGCTCCGTTCCGTCTACAAGCGGTCAATAGGGAGGCGATGGCTGTGTGTGTGTGTGAACGACATCCTTCCGTTGACACTGAAAAACTCCGAAACATCGGCACTATTGATCGAACACGCCGTGCAAACTGGTTTTTGAGTTCTTCCTTTTCAAAGCTTTGAATTTTCTACTTTTCTGTAAATATTTGGTGTAAGTTGTTGATTACTTTTTTGCAAGATAAACAAAGTAACGGCAAGATCGAGTTCCAGTCAAGAAATGCGACATTTTTGCGTTTTTCATTGTGTTCGGGACATGAAACCTCGGTTTTATCGTGTTTTTTTGTGGCTTATGCTCCCAGGTATAGCTCAGTTGAAGTGCGACAATTCCTATTCAAAGTAGGATTTCATACTTTTAAGCACGTGGTATTTTTGAGCAGGTGACACTTTTGAGCAGCTGATAATACCGAGCCACTTCGCTTATAGACCATGAATCAGGTCGGATCAATTCCCGCCGGAACAAACAAAATCCTTCACTATTTGCACTCTAACTTCATTACCATCCAAGCCATTCCAATCTCCTATCAATCCGAGATCGTCTTTTATAGACGTACTTTTACTTACTTCGTATTTACTTACTTCGATTTTACGTTTGATTTTGAACAATATCGCATTTTAAAAAACTTTCTCCGTGCCCAATGGGCTCGCTAGCGCCACGAGCACGGAACCTCAGAAGGCACCCGGTTCCCACAGTAACCTTCGCAAAGTAAAGTGCGGTAAGCGCAGTGTTGTGACAGCCCATATGTTCGATTTTACGTCACAGTTTTATTTGAACACACGCCGTATTCTCTTTATACGGGTTTGGTATCTTCTCCCCGAACGGCGTTCGCCGCACTCGATCGTGCGCTATAGACGGAAAGACTTGAATCCCCGGTGGAAAGTACGGCAGTCGCGGCGGAACTACTGCCGCCGGCCGTGGGAATTCGGGAAGAAGTTCCGCCAACTTCTTTACACATTTGATTCAACGAAAGCGACCAGGACATAAGTAGGGCGTACTCTTAGTCCTGCGTTATAACAAGACATTCCAGTCAAGGTTCACGGCCGGATAAGCTCACAGATAAAAGTATTCTCAATGTTGCGGCTTTCCGTTATCATCTATAGACATTTATTTATATTTTTTTGAAAAAACCACGCGGGCATCTGATATAAGCATGGCACTTTTTTCGGGTGTGCTATTTTGTATCCTAACGGCGTGCCGCTCTCGGTCGCGCGTAGTCGCAACGCGCTGTGGAAGGAAACATTCAAAATCCCGGTGGTAGATTACGGTGATTGCCTCGGAACTACCTGCCGCTTCCCGTGGAATTTAGGTTCAGAGCCTAAACCCTTTTCTCCCAAAATAGCTGTAGAAGCGATGAGAGGGAAGTCGGGTGGCAGACAGACTTAATTTTGCAAAATTGCGAACACCCTGAATGAAAATCCTTTATTTCATTGTTGGGTCAGGCAGTTGTGCTAAGGCAGAGGATCGTTCTTTACCTCGTACACGATTATTCATTTTTTCCATTCACTGTATTTACAGTACGATTAGGGTGGACGTGGTGTAGTGGCAAGTGTGGCACTTCACACTGCATGGTAACGGGTTCGAATCCGGGTCTGGGACATCATCCGTCTGGGAACAACCAGGCCTTCCATCCCTCCGAGGTCAGCTAATTGGTACTAGACTCGTCTGGGGGATAGAAGCACTGAATCGTACATCGGCTGGATACCGCAAGTCATTGCATAGGCCACATACGCACTCAATACGCCACCACGATTCTGAAGTTTCATTCGGACTCTGGGCACACGACTTTCGTCGAATGCGTGGGCGCATCCTCAGACGGGGTTCATTAACGTCCCAAGACTTTATCCTTTATGGTACGATTGATAATGCAGGAGAATGAAGTATTCGCGGTATTTACCATTCAAAAAACAGAGGAGGATTTTCTGAAAAAGACGGAAGGGGAGAACCGGTCGTTGTTAGGTTCTCGAAATCGTTAGATGTCTTGCGNTCTGGGACATCATCCGTCTGGGAACAACCAGGCCTTCCATCCCTCCGAGGTCAGCTAATTGGTACTAGACTCGTCTGTGGGATAAAAGCACTGGATCGTACATCGACTGGATACCGCAAGTCATTGCATAGGCCACATACGCACTCAATACACCACCACGATTCTGAAGTTTCATTCGGACTCTGGGCTCACGACTTTCGTCGAATGCGTGGGCGCATCCTCAGACGGGATTCATTAACGCCCCAAGTCTTTATCCTTTATGGTACGATTGATAATGCAGGAAAATGAAGTATTCGCGGTTTTTATCATTCAAAAAACAGAGGAGGATTTTCTGAAAAAGACGGAAGGGGAGAACCGGTCGTTGTTAGGTTCTCGAAATCGTTAGATGTCTTGCGAGAACGTGTCCGAAGCGGCTTTATCTTATCGTATCTTCAGAGGACATCATTCTTTTGGATGCAGGATCACCAGTAAGCTCTTCGGTGCAACAAAGCTTCTCATCAGAAGGGTAAGCTTTAGAGCGATCTAACTATCCGGAATTTTCCTTAGAATTACTTGCACATTTAGGTACAGCCGCGATCCTGAAAGGACGCTGCGTTAATGCTGCCCATTTGGTTGGCTGCGCTGAGCGTTATTGATACGGGATGGTCACTAGATAATGGGTTAGCCAGGTAAGCACCCAGCCTATCCAAGTCCTTTCATGTTTCAGTCCTTGTTTCAGAAGACCACCGATGGGCTGGATGACATGGGCGACATTTCTTTGTGAAACCAATTGCGAAATGTTTCCACATTACTGCATTAGTGAAGAGCTGTTCCGTCAAATGGCTGACAGAATCGGTAAGGACGTAGCGCTTTTGGGATTTGACCAGTCAGTTTGCCCGTCACCTATCGACCCATTGGGACAAGCCACAGCGCGACTGCACGCGTCCCTGCAGTGATCTTTCACCAGTCCGCTGTTCCTCTGCGAATAGTGTGACCATTTCATGTGTGTCTATTATTCTGGAAATAGTCGAATTTTTTAGCTATCCACTGACCTTTTCAGTCGAAGATGGATTCCTGGCAGCTGGCTACAATCGAATACACATCGACGACTGCTGGATGGAACGTACAAGAAACAGTGATGGCGAGCTGGAGGCCGATCGCAAACGCTTCCCCAATGGCATAAAGTGGCTAGCCAGATATGTGAGTCAGTTTTCACGCATAGCTTTAGCATGAGCCGAAATCGGTAATTCGACCAGGAGCCTTCTGTGGGAAGCTTCGAGTTTACAGCTGTTACCCACTTGGTTGGTCAACCCATAATCTGTTCTCTTAGATTTGTGCCGGAACTTATGATATCGACTGCAATCGCTCAGTGGCATGTTTCAGAGTAGAGCGTCAAGCGTCTTTGGCGTAAAGCGTCGAGCGTCAAGTCAATTTTAGATTGGATTTTTTATCGTTGTATATTCCAACTACTCAATTCTTTCTGTTATATGGACATTTATTCTTGATCCCTAAGGTACTAAATGACAGAACTGTGTTGTGAAGAAGCTCCAATCATCTAGACGTTTTCCTCTGCCTTTCCCCCTACTGAAGTCTCTGAATGCTTTATCTCCCACTCCCAAGTGCTTGCCTCTTTTGCTTCCAGAGCTTGGCCGTCTATCATGTTGATTTTACAAACTCCACGTAGCTGCAGTATTTTGAAGTCTTCGTTCTGTAGAGCATAGTTTGAGCATCGGGAAACAGCCATTTCTCATGAACATCGTCTTCGTTACTTTCTATGTTAAAACGTATTCCCACAAGCACTAACGATGTCAACCAGCACTTGGTCGGCTACAAAGCTCGGATGTTGTGATTGCCGACTATCAGTTTCACTTCCACATCTTCACATTCCAATCTAGCATAACGTCTTAGAGAGAAGCACAAAAGTGTCAGAGAAATGATGCTTCGCCTCTGTAAAGCCAACTCTCTGAATCATCCATAGCGCAAACTGGTCAGCAGCCGTACCAGAATCTCGAGGTTACAAAAAAAGAGGTAGCGGAGCTAACTGAACGGCGGGCATTCAGTCATTGCCTCGTGCAACTTCGAGATTCTGGTCATTAATTTGTGATAGAGTTTACAGACTAACCTATACATTTTGAAAAGATGCAGCATCCTTGTTGTTCACAGCTCGGAAAATCGCATTCTCTCACATCAGAGTGAATGACTTCCATCGGTGCACAGGAACGTTGGGACATCCTACTCTCTCCAGAAGTCATCGGGTGTCCTGAACGTGTGGTGTGATTAGTCGCGTTGAACTCCCCTTCGGCTCTGCTCGCTCCCTCAGCAATTCTCCAAGTATGTTTTGCAACTCCTGTCAGGACGACCTACATATATGAGTAGTTCCCGTGTTACCGACAATAAGCTGAGGGTCCATATTTCTCAACTTCTATGTCTCCCTCCCTATAAGCAGTAGGCATACCGTACACTAATCTCCAATCATATATAATCCAGATATGTTGGTTGGAGAGAGCTAGCCTATTCTGTTTGTTTCAGATGCATGACAAAAAGCTTGAACTTGGTATATACGCGGATTTTGGAACGGCGACTTGTATGGGGTTTCCTGGAAGTATTGATCACTTGGAGGTGCGATTCCATTATGATCACGATTTTCGTGTGCACATTTTTGCTTCGCGAACAGCTCATTTTCCTCGTGGTTTTTCCCGAGAGGCCAAAAAAACTAACAACTCCTCAAGAGCTACGAAACTGAGCCAAAGTGAGTAGATTGGTACGCTCTATGACAGAGTAGATGGGCTATGCTAATGTTGAAACTCATCATTGTTGTTCTTCGGGTTAGAAGGGGAGCATATAAACTCTGCTGCGCCATACATCGTGCTTTAGCCTTACATTGCATGATTGCTTTGATTACCATTTGGCTAAGAACGAGCCAGTGGACCCGCACAGAGGGTCAATTTGTTTCAGTTGAACTCTCAGTTGTAATGTGATCGAGAATGCCAACTCCGAGTCAGAAAAGAATGGGAGCTTCAGTCTACAACCCAATCACTGTCATTGGGAACTTATCCAAAGCAAAATTTTCAATTTTCATGGCACAGTTCATGGGTCAGGATGACTCTCTCATTATGCTTGCAGAGTAGATGAGCTCTTCCTCGTCCCTAAAGGAGCACTTGAAAATTTGGAACGTATATCTTGTATGTTTTTCAGGTTGACGCCAATACCTTTGCATCGTGGGACGTTGACTATCTAAAGATGGACGGATGTCATGCGGGGATCGAAAGGATGGTTGCAGGTGGGTTGTTATGTCTTATTTCGACTTGTTCACCTGACTCAACGAATTAAGAAAATCATAAGGCTTCATAGAAATGAATATCAAAGTGGAGGTGGTGTAGTGCCAAGCCGCGCACTACCACACTCATGGTGCGTGGATCGATCTCCGGAACGGTACTTGTTCGAACCCAGCGAGCCTTCCATCCCTGCAGCATTCGTTGATCGGTACCAGACTAGTCGAAGCTGATAAAACCACTGAGCTGTGTATTCGTTGACCAACGTAACTCAGTGTATTATGAGTAAATAAACGCAAAAATGCACCCAAACCGAATGGGTATCGAATGGGGGGCGCTTACCAGAATTCGAGATCTAGAAACTTTACTAAATATTTTTTACTATTAGAGGTTGTTTTAGGTTACGCACGCATGGAGCGAGCCCTTAATGCAACTGGTCGTTCAATTATTTTCTCGTGCAGTTATCCTTACTACTTTCTCGCTCAAGGATTGAAAGTATGCTATTATCTTCGACGTTTCGGTCACGCCCCAATATTTGCTCTTCGCCTATAAATAAGCAAGGAAGAAGAGTACTCGATCACAAAAAGCCTCGAAGCGTTTCATAAGTGGTCGGGGTTTGGTACTTGCAGTAGTACGTAAACCTGATAACCTGAAATTGCCGCTAGCACTGGAGAGAGAGNCGCCATTTTTGCACCACTCTACTCCCTGGCTCCACCATTCCTTCAAACCGGAAACCTCAGAATTATCGTGAACTGCGCCTCCAGCCCTAGTTACTCNAGCGTTTCATAAGTGGTCGGGGTTTGGTACTTGCAGTAGTACGTAAACCTGATAACCTGAAATTGCCGCTAGCACTGGAGAGAGAGCTGTCACTTAGAGATTAAATTGGGTGAAGAGGGGTACGGGATACATAAGGAACAGTTTTCACTGGTTCTTATTCCCCTACTCAAAACTTCTGATTTCTAGAGAACCCATATTACGATCAATATTCAGACGAAATTCTGAACTCTACATGTGAAGGCAAAGTCACGATAAAAACAGTTTCTGAGATTTTTCCTTAAGAACAACGTGTGGCCTTCAGGGGTATGAAATGGGACAATGTCGAAAAAAGACTTAATATGGCGTTACAAGAGCTCCAAAATTGGCCTGGCCGACGCACAGGCTCGAAAATGGGTGTGATGACAGCCTTGTCAAGCTGTACCATTCATAAAAAAGCGCTTGGACGTCGACGAATAGTACGCTTGTGGAAGAGACACCCGGGCCGTTACAGACACGTAATCTCGTACACAATTAGCAAATTTTCGCGCTTTCTTCGCCATTTTTGCACCACTCTACTCCCTGGCTCCACCATTCCTTCAAACCGTGAGAATTATCGTGAACTGCGCCTCCAGCCCTAGTTACTCCTGTCTTCATGGCAAAAAGGTTTCGTCAAGATTAATATATTAGCCGATTTTTCAGGTTGATCTAACCCCCACTGGAGAATCCTGTAATCTGTGGCGATTCTATGCGGATGTTGAAGGTTCGTGGGAGTCAATTGCCGGCATCATTCACTATGTTGACGATCTCCAGGATACCCTAGCTGCAGCACAAAGACCTGGTGCTTGGAACGATATGGATATGGTGAGATATCAGAGTAGCAAAGGCTTTTTGCTTTACAATCGGGATTTAGGAGGTCTCACTGCTATGGAATTTTTTCGTGAAATAACTCATAAGTTTTCAGATTGTTGCCGGCTTAGGATCGCTCACACCCGATCAAGCCAGGGTGCAAATGTCACTTTGGTTAGTCCTTTCTCTTTTAAAGCCAATTTTCATGAAGCTTAACAACGGTCAATAGCTATCAAGTGATATACTCTTTCGGAATGACATGGTATCAAGGGGTTCAACTGGAAGCGGGTTTGTGATGTTCACGGAAAAGGGACCTATCTCCGGAGACACACCATTTCGCCTTCGGAAGCGAGTATTGCCTCCCAAACGCTTCACCTAGACATCTCACATTCACATTCTTCTGATCCGCTTTCGAAGTCCAACCAAGATCCACCGAACTGAGACTTGCATTCCTGCTACTTCACCACGAGCACTTTTCTGTTTTGGGAGAGGATAAGAAGGGGAGTCGCTTATTGCGTAGAAGACTGCGATCCCATAGCAATAACTTTGCGTCGTCTGACTCCTCCCAGTGCATTTAAGGATAGCTGAGAGCCTAGAATTACCCTGCTCTGTGCTAGGCGATCAGACAGCGAAAAAAGGAAGTTAGTAGTAGTCATGATGAATATTAAAAGGACAGAGGATAAAGTTCTTGGAAGATGATCGATCCCGTCTGAGAGATACGCCCGCATTCGATTTCCATTCAGGATTGATCAGATTGCTGATAATGGTGGCTGACTTCTTTTCTCGACTATTGCTCTATTTTCTTCTAACCCAGCTTGTTCCCGTCTGACTTTACACCTCACTTTATCCGCCTTCCCATCCTGTATATGCTCAACCATGAAAAAAAAACCCGCGTAGATAGTTCCTACGATTCATCTACCTCTAGCCCTTTTTCGATGCAGTTCCTGTCACTGCCACCTATCGAGGAGCTTCGCAACAACGGCTTCAGCGCTCTCTGTTCACATGCAGGGGTAAATTAGCACAATAATACTGGAATCATGGAACAGATCATCTAGGACTCGTCGACATTACGTTCCAGAAGTCGTTAACCTTCAAACTGCTGGGTCCTGCTAGTAGCATGCGATCACATACCCCCAGTAGATTGGTATCCTCCTTGGGTTGGTGGTGCAGTGACGTACATAAACTCATGAGTCTCTGCCTAGAACAGTTTTTTGCTGAAAATCGGAATTTTTTCCAGTGGGGAACATGGACGTTAGAGCAAAGCCCATCCTGTCTACCCGCCTCCCGATCTCCCTGTATTCCTGTGACTATCTGTTCAGCACGAGATAGCTGAAGCGATAAAACCAGGTCAACGTTACTTCTGGTCTAGTAAAAGCTAACCACCAGGATGGCAATAACAGCCTAGGATTTCATTTTATCACCGCATTCATTTGAGCGCTAAAGATGAGGATGGGAGTGGAATGAAACGAGGTCACGTCGTCTTCTATGCTCACGTCTTAACAGACGTCGGTTAATTGTTGATTCCGTTGTTTAGCCAAAACAAACATCTGTCTAATGTTGCAGGTCTATATGGTCTTCTCCTCTCATCATGTCCAATGATTTGCGGACATTGAGTTCTGAATTTCGGGAAATTCTACAGAATCGAGATGTCATCGCTATTGATCAAGACCCACTGGGAGTGATGGGAAAATTAGTGCGAAAGGTATGGTTCCCATCAGATTCTCTCATTCTCATTCTGAAGTAAAGATTCTTTGTTTCCACAGAACGATAGTGTGGGAATCTATGTGAAGCCGGTAACACCCGTTATCAATGGACTTACCTCGTTTGCCATTGCCGTTGTTAATATGAACCAGGTTGAAATTAAGGTGAGTATCTATACGTCCACATAATTCACGGAATAATCACCGCTTGTCCTAGTGTTCCCCGTTTTGACGCACTCCGTTCTCATGGCTGTTATTCTGCACACGTTTGCATCTGTGCCAGGATAGAGCAGCGTTCATGCATGGCGAGCATCCCATAAGGCGCCCATGTCGAATGCGCGTATCGATCAATCAATCGCTGTCGTGCGTCTTTCCTCGCGCAACGTCACCGCTGACTCTAGCAGTGCGTGGAAGCCAGTGCCATCGCCATTTCCACCGAATAACTTCTCTCGCAGAAGTTTTCAGAAGAAGGGCTGTCGCAATGTATGATAGGTGCATCTTCGCAAGCTGAACTGGTCCAAGTCGGTACCTGTGCTAGAACTAATAAAGCAATTTCAACTCAAAAGCCCCTTTTCCGAAGGACCTTTACGCCACAGGTGATTTACACACAGACCCCGGTAATGCAAGCGGTCAATACAAATATACAATATCTATTCGGAATTGATGGCGAGCCATATGCGACGGTTGATTGTCCATCTGAGGGTATGATAACCGGTAGTGAGAACATTCAGCCACCGGTAGAGGGTTTGAGCTTTTTTGGGTTTAAACTCCTCTGGTTTTTTCGCTCATCGGACGATTCGAAACGCGAAAGTTTGCGCAATCGTGTTACCAGGAAGCAGAGAAGGAACGTGTTCAGCCGTCCGATAAGCAATCAGCGTAATAGAGACTGACGAGCGAAAGGGACAGATAAGCTGTAGCACAGAAAAAAAAGTATGCGCTGGAGGTGGACGAAATCCTTTTATTGACGTATGTCGGGTCAGGCTGCTGCACCATGACTGTCGCTGACTGCTATTCATCGACTCTGAGGACAGTCTATGATTGCTAAAGCTATATAGATTCATCTAACCTCATTGTCAAAAGCTAGTCAGAACTGCCAGATTATGTGGCGTAGAGACGAGCACGGATGATCCTGCTTTGAGTCCCTTGAGTCCATGGGTTCGCGCTACCGAAATTGACTGTTAAATTGAATAATCAAATGGATGGACGATCTTAACCGCCTGGAGTCGCTCTCTTCTCCAATTGAGAGACAGGTCAAACATGGGTTGCAATTATGAGTTTACTGAATTGAGTACAACTAGCCGTATTGCTTTACGTGTCCAAGACTATCATTCTCGTAAATCGGGCGCATCGCGATCGCCCGCATATATGTCGGATATTGCGGCCATAACTCGCTCCTTTCAGAAGGTACGATTTACATTCGAATCGCTTGGTCTGGTTAATATTGGTGGATACAATCTACGCAATCTTTGGACTGGTCAGGATTTTGGTGTGGTTTCACCCACCTACGAATATCACGTTGAACTACAGCCCACATCTGTATCTATGATAAAGCTCACTATTTTATAGCCATCTGATAACTTTGTCACGAATGATTTGTTTTGTTAATTTCTATTTCCGGCTTGGGTAGTCACGAATAGGTGATGATTGAGTGATGTAACTGGCATTTGTTGATGCTTATACACCTTGTACCTAATTATGTTTATCCCGAAGTATTCTTCTATGCTGAGTACGTCTATCCTGCTTGTCTTTCAATAAGGGTTTTAGAGGAGTTTTTAGGCTTTTTCAATTGAATTATTAAGATCAGCATTCATGAACATTCCCTTTTGAGTTGTGACCGTTTTTATCATTGCCCTGTTGTGAATTGTATGGGTCTATTGAAATAAACCATGACATATCGAAAGTGTAGATCATCTTTTTGTATGAAGGTTAAAGGATAAAGTCTTTGGCGTCAATCGATCCCGTTTTCAGGCTGCGCCCCGCATTCGATTTCCATTTAGAGCCGTAGCGGCGTTTTGAATGCACCTGTGGCATACACCACGTGATACTGTGTTCAGCCAATGTAGAAGTCAGTGCTTTTATTCTTCCAGATGAGGCTCGTACCAATAAATCGACCCTGGAAGGGGTCGAACCCTGATCGGTCAGAGCGAGTATCGATCTGGAATTCGATCCCTGGACCATGCGAACGTGATAGTGCGCCACTTGTCATTACACCATCTCCGCCCCATCTTTTCTTAGTGTTCTGAAATCGATTTTGAGTGATGTTTACATCTCATTCGTTTCTCTTTTATTCGAATTTCGACTTTTGTTTCCAAGATGCGTGCCTTGATAGGTGATCCGACGAATGAATTAGGTCTCCATATATCGCTGGGTTCACTGGTGCAGGAATACTGCACTTCCTCATCTTCCGGAACTATCAGTTCCAAAGTGAAGAGCTCCGTAGGAAGTCCAAGGGTCTTCCTTTGTCTCTTTGCCAGCATCTGGTCACTTCATCGTTGACGAGCATCCATTCTTGAGCAGAAGTAGGTCAACTCCATACCTTTAAGTGTTGGCAGTACCGATTGAAGATATTGCCCAAAAGCTAAGTAAGGAACTCCAGAAGTTCAGGATCCTCGAAACCTTACCCTGGAAGGGAGAACTTCATTACTGATATCTGAGCTGACCGTCCCACATTCAAGCTACGTGGGAAAGGAACGGACGTGATAACGTTGACGTAGTGATTGGGCTGCCCCTTCATGTTTGAACTATGCCCTACCCATCTTGACCCTTTGATAAGCTATCCCGTGCTTCGTATCGCGTTTTCCCTGTCCCTGTATGGAATTCATCTGCTCCTTCGGCTGAATTACTAATGCCCCCCGGTTGTTGTGATGAAGCATTCCAGCTTGGGCACACTTTTGTTGTCAGTGCTAACGATAGCGCGGGTCGATAATGCGCTTGGTCTGACGCTCGTCTACCCGCGCTATGTAGCCGATCGATCGCCCCTGAGCACTGGGCCACATTTAGCGCGGTGCTTGGTGGCTGGCCGTACGTTCCAGCTTCCATTTTCTTTCCTGCACTGCTGTAATACGAGTAACTTGGTTTCCCTGAGCTGAGCTTCCTCTCAAGGCTGTCTGGGAAACTGAACTCTTGCCTTTCCTCATATAACCCTACTTCTGATCCGAATTTCATCGATAACTATCGATTACTGTATGAAATCTGTTATAAGCAGTACTTACTGTCTAATATTTCAGACCCGAAGAAGGTGCAAGGCACCCTAACACTGCGGTAAGGCTGAAGGACTACTGGGATTACTTCGTCCCAGACGGGCCCATTCAGTGGAACCCGGGTGACCAACTCATGGGTTCCGCCAGTAATGGTATGGACAACTCCAAACGCAAGAAAGGAGTGAATTGGTCTGTGCAGGAAAACGAGTTGGTCATCGAATTGTTCCTAACCAACTATGATATGTACTACTTCAAATTCGCTGATGGTGAGCAGCTTCCGCTATCTATTTTGGTCATTTCTAATGTGCTGAATTTCGATGTGTTCGGTGGTGTTTTCTTCGATGCGTGCTGGAACCAAACTGAGCCACTTCAGCCAGCTACGAAGAGGGCGAAAAATTTAGCGATGATTAGTTACGAAAAGCAGTACTTGTGGCTTATTTTCCGCTAGTTTTTTATTGATCTAACCCATGGCACTAATTAATCATTATTTTTGGAGGGGTTGAAATTTGATTGGAGCTCACCTCTGAGTTGCCGAAACCGTTTACTATGCGCACTGCGGCGAGACGACACTGACAGCTGGGTTCGGAAACTTCTCCCCGAAGGCGGCGTCGCGCACGCCGCACCCGCCGCGTATCGCAGGATTGCGATGGAAGATTGGAGCGCGCAATCTGTGAAGTAGGGAGGCCTTCAATTATTTGAATTGACTGGCCGCTCCCTTCAATTCCAATGCGATCCTGATTGCCGCTTACACTGGAGGAGTAATTCTAATCAATCAAGACTAGTAAACATAAAAACAAGAAAAAGAAAGCGAAAAAAACGATCAAAACTAATTAAAAAGAAAGGCGTTCGACGAAAAGTGTTGCGTCACATCGATTGGCGGGGAGGCGGGGTGAGTACGGTAGTTGCAGTGACATTTGCCGCATGCCGCAATCGGGAGAAGTTCCGTTACCCCTGACAGCTAGGCTGCAACAGCGAGGGGCGTGGCAAACGGAAGTTGGTGATATGCCAATGGGAAGTCTGAATGCGGCCTCTGGCTGCGAGTCGACAATCACACTCCAGCCAAAATCGTTTCCTGCTGGCATGTGCCTTCACGTCGAGGTAGTGAACAGAGGATTTTCTGTGGGCGCGCTGATGGACGCAACATAGTGCGCGCGGCGAGTAGGTACTCACATGGTTCCCTTATATCGATGTGTTTTAGTAGCTTGCCCAGGTGAAAATGTAGTTGGGGGTTGCCAGGCACTTTTGCGCTTTGCGTCTCTTCATTTCTTACCCCATCTAATCATCTCACCAATCCCGGAGTTCCTCCATTCTAAAAGTTAGGGAAGGGGCTCCGCGTGGGTGAACCAGTTGATGTTCAATTCTTACTCTATCCCAGCTTTTTGCACGATATAATCATCCCTCCCACCCCGGCGCTCTTCCTCTAACTCTTAGATGGGGAGGAATCCATCTCTGCGATCTCTATGCACTCTGCCAAGATGTCAGAGGCGCAGAGCACAAAAGTGCCTGGCGCTCTCCAACTACATTTTTACCACTTGCCCATGCTTTATGTCTTGATGGTAAACGCCAGAGTCGTCCAGATCGCCACGAATTTGCCGCGTGCATCTCTGTACGCACCAAAGTTCCCATACCCGGGTGAGCTTTGTTCCGCGTGTCCGTCAAAACTAGATCACGCCGCAGCCGTCGCACGCGGCGGACAGGCCGCGATTTTTCGCGTCGCAAATGCCAGCGGGGTCTACGATTAGCGCTTGGTCCACGACAGTCAGCGTGGAGAGAAGATAAACGAACTGATGCAAATCACTCGCTCCACTGATACTTAGTGGTACTGTAACGTCATCCCGAGATCGCAATGGACCGTGCCGCGCGCGAAGTGGGCGGGGTGACCTAGTTTCCACGGACGCGCGGAGCGCACGTTCTCATCGGGGCACAGGTTTTGAGTAGATTGGAGAAATAGCGCCAGCTGTTGCTACTATCTACCCTACTTCAAATTTATGCCCCATTGATAGACATCACAGTCGTTTAAATCACCACGGATTCCGCCGCACAGTTTACCGCGTCCATCTAGAATTGGGAGAACTTGTGCCTAACAGTTGTATTCAAATATCCGCGCGCGGTAGAATAATTCAAACCGCAAAATCCTTACCCTGTTCAAACGCGCACCTCGATATGACAGTGAGCTGCGCCGTTGACCTAGTTTGATGGAGATAAGTACGAAGCGCACACCCACCACAGACTTGCAAACCCCCCGCTCCGGCAAAATTCAGTACGGCACGTTAGCCTTACAAAATTTGGGGGGACGGAACATCCACCCAAAACTCGATGGACGCGGCAAATGGCGCGGCAAGATTCGTGGCGTTCGGGACGACATCGGCATCTGTCAATGGGGCGCATACCTGAAGTGGAGTACATTAGTGTGGTCAGATAATCGTACTAATTGGTTCTACTTCAGATTTGGACCCCAATAATAGGCGCTAAAGCCGTTTGATTCGCCACGAATATCGCCGCGCGATTTGTCGCGTCCATCCAATTCTGGGTGAATGTACCCGGAGGACGGAACTTACGTGCGTCCGAGGATGCGCGCGGCAAATTGCGCGGCGAAGTTTGTGGCTATTTGAGCGGGTTCAGCGCTTATCATTGGGGCCTGAATTTGAAGTAGAGTCGATTAGTAGGGTCGGCTGACCCTACTTAATTACTCTACTTCAAGTCTGTGCCCCAGTAGTAGGAGCCAGAGCCGTTCGTATCGCCACGAACTTCGATACGCAATTTGCCGCGCTCGGACGCACGTAAGTACCTATGCCCAATGTACCCATACCCACAAAATTTGCCGTAAAATAGAATGCATTAAACGCAGATTTTCACGAGCAAGACATTTCCTTTCACAGTCGGACTAACGCCGACTGGGGGACGGTACGAACGTGCGTCCGAGGGTGCGCGCGGCAAGTTGCGTGGCGAAGTTCGTGACGATTTGTACGACTGGGGAGCCAATTTTCGGGGCACAAACTCGAAGTAGTGTAATTTAGTAGGGTCAGATGATCCTCCTAATCCACTCTATTTCAAATTTGGGCCCAAATGATAGGCGCCAAAGTCGTTCAAATCATTACGAACTTCGCCGCGCAATTTGCCGCGCGCATCCTCGGACGCACGTTCGTACACATACCCGTCCACGATTTGGCCCGTGACAGGTCGCACGACTGGTCTCAGCGACCGGTCGCGGGCCAAATCGTGGACTATGAAAGCAGCCAATACGTTCTTACAAAGTTTGTATGGATTTCAGTAATCCCGTAATCCTGCTGCTGGTAACCGTGCAATGATATTACTTGGATTCCGATCTGAATTTTAGCTCTTGTCCTCCATCTTCCGACTACCCCT